AGGGATGAATGAATACATAATGTTTACTTTTCATTTTGTTTTGTATTTTTCTTTCATGTATTATGTTTTTTCACTAGATCTCAGCAGCAAATTAATGAAAAAACAAAAATAAAAATAAAAATATTTGCATCAGTGCAGTACAAATTCATAAATGACATGTTTACTTATCTGGAATATGCCCAACTTAAGTTTGGAATTGAGAAATGACATTAATAATGTGATGTCCCTCTTACAGTGGTAGAAGAGCAAGCAAGATCGTTTTCCAGCATTATCCATTATAGCACGTGATATTTTAATAACTCCGGTGTCCACAGTAGCATTAGAGCAAACATTTTGTGCAAGCAATTGAATTCTTGACTATAAGAGGAGTAAAATGTACTCGGATATCTTGGAGGGCTTAATGTGCGTGAAAGACTGGGAAGATACAAGAAGATGAAAATAACATTATATAGATGATACACTTCTAGACTATTTTTCAAACGTAGACACACTACAAGAAAAAGGGGTTTTTACGACGACAAAAAGTCATCACAAAAACCCGCATGTCGTCGCAAATAAAGTTTTTTGCGATGACGTATTGTCGCAAATTTGTCGGCGTAAATAATTCGTCGCAAAAACGTTTTTTGCGAAGACATAGTATCGTCACAAATGTATTTGTGACGACAATCGTCGCTAATACGTTGTCACAAATTTCTCATGATACGATTCATTTTTTGCAACGACATTTCAAATTGTCGTCACAAATAATCTTACTTTTTTGCGACGACAAGTCTAAAGAAGTCGTCACAAAAAACTGAAATTAATTTTTTTTTATAATTTTTTAAAAATGGTAATTAATTAATTTTTTAATATTTTTAATTAAATATTATTATGTTACATACTGAATAGAATTTATTATGATACATTAATAGTGAAATATAAATTAATATTAAAAACAGTAAATCTAAACAAATTTATGAAATATATTATGAATACTACATGAAGTGCATATATAATGTTAAAAAAAAATAAAAGTCTAAATAAAGTGAAAAAATAAAAAGGTACATACAACGAAACTAATCATCTAAGTTTTCAGCATTACCAGCATCTGAATCATCATCAAGACCGTCATCATCTGAAGGAGGCAGAGGAGCGTCTAGGTCAACTGGTTCTAGACGATCAATCGTAGGTAATTGGATGTTGGGCTGCATTTTAGCCACCAACTTTAACACCTTCACCTGATTCTTATAAATCTTAACTTGTCCCCGATACGATTTCTTTAAATAACGACCAAACCGGGGTTAGTGACGTGGAGGCTTGTTTAGAAACTTAAACCTGTTTAAGAGAATGATTAGTATATAATGTTGCAAACGTTATAATATATATATATATTTTAAATTCAAAACATCCAGGTATTTCCAAACAAGCCCATGCATTCAAGAGAAATTTAATTTCAAGAACGGTGGTGGAATTTCCAACCAAACCAGTTTAAAACCACGTCCCTGGTATCAAGTCAGGAATTCCCACAGGTGTTTAGCATACATGAATATAAACAAGAGTAAATGTGACATCAACCACATTCTAGTAATATTTTAAGTTTACAATCCATAATCTTTCATACATGCCTTGAGATAAGGGATTAGAGGAAATACAACTCTTCGCTTTCCTGAAACAAGTCCACGTCACCGGTAATAGCTACCTACTCCGCACTACTTCTGGCGTCGCCTAGAGGGGTTTAATACATTTGAAAACAGGAAAAAGTGAGCGAAAGGCCCAATAGGATATAATTTTATAAAGCATTTAAAATAAAGGTACTCACGGTCCGAAGATATACACCCGGAACCGATCATCCTTTTTTTTTAAAAAAAGGAAA